TAAACCAGTAGAGAATGATTCTAATGCAGGTACCAACCCATGGCACACACTGTGCACAGAGGCATCACTTACGTTGCCTATCAAATCATTCGTTGCTTCAGATGAAGAAGCATAAGATGCACAGAAGGCTTCTTCAAAGTCCCATCCAAAAGGAAAGGGTAGAAGCCGATTTGTTTTGGTAAAGTCAAACCCGAACAACTCAAACAAGGAAGTTCAGAGGAAGATGACGGAGTTCCCCAATTCCATTACCATGAACCCAATTCTATATACTTAATGAAACAAATGGGGTATAACTTTAATGAGAAACAGGGTCTGAACTTCAGGAAAGGTAGACGAACCCCAATCCGGATGTCTCTAACCCCTGAAGGAAAACCTCCGGATTATTATCAAAAAACCGGAAGGGGTTTAGGTTATGTCACAACTCCCCCTGCCTCAGAAAATGAAATCAGTAATTATCTGCGTCAGGACCATTCATCCGTAACCTCTTCCTAGGAATCCGACGTCAGTGTTGGACCTTTCTTTAAAAGTTTGATTGTGAACATGGCTTCAACTAGTCACCCCGATGAAGATGCAGAGGGTGATGAAGAGTTAATCGAATCAACCGACGACCCTTGGATCAAACGTCTTAACATTTTGTGGGATATGCGCTTCGAACAACGCGAACCACCCACTGAAGATAAAGTGATCCAGGTCAACATGGGAGATGAGTCTGACCCTAAGCCTATCTTTATAGCCGAAGACTTATCATCATCCGAAAAAGAGGACCTTATATCTCTCATCCAAGAATATATAGATGTCTTCGCTTGGAATTATGAAGATATACATGGCCTAGACCCAAATGTAGCTACGCATCGTCTCAACATCGATCCGGATGCAAAACCCGTTAAACAACAACAACGCAGGTTTCGTCCAGAGATCATGGAATCAATTGAGTCAGAAGTTAAAAAGCTTATAGACTCAGGTTTTGTTAGGGAAGAACAACACCCTGACTGGGTGGCCAACATTGTTCCAGTTCCCAAGAAGAACGGTAAGGTCCGGATATGCATTGATTTTCGCGATCTTAACGCAGCTTGTCCAAAAGACGAGTTTCCTCTTCCTATCACTGACGTCATGATCGATAACACCTGCGGATATAAAAGGAAGTCTTTCATGGATGGATTCTCCGGGTACAATCAGATCAAGATGTACCCGAATGATGAAAAGCATACTGCTTTTAGAACACCACTGGGGGTGTATTGCTACACAGTGATGCCCTTCGGCCTGAAAAACGCAGGTGCAACTTATCAACGTGCAATGAACGCCATCTTCCATGAACACTTACGAAAAAAGATCGAGTGCTACGTTGATGATATAGCAGTAAAGAGCCAATGTAAAGATGATCATCTTACAGATCTGAAGACAATGTTCGAGATCATGCGAGCACATCAGCTGAAGATGAACCCGACAAAATCATTCCTCAGAGTATCAAGCAGAAAATTCTTAGGGTTTATCGTCACATCCAAAGGCATCTCTCTTGATCCAGAGAAAGTGCGTGCCATCCAAGACATGCCATCTCCGAAGAATCTCAAAGAGCTCAGAGGTTTACAAGGCAGACTGGCCTACATTCGAAGATTTATATCAAATCTGTCAGGGCGCTGCCAACCTTTCTCTAAACTCATGAAGAAAGGAATATCCTTTGTTTGGGATGCGGAGTGTCAAAGAGCATTCGGGGAGATTAAGAGATATCTAACTCAACCGCCAGTTCTCGTGGCCCCGATATCAGGAAAACCATTCCTGTTATATGTAAGAGCCATGGATCATTCTCTTGGTGCTTTGCTAGCTCAGAACAATGATCAAGGTCAAGAGCAAGCCATCTATTACCTGAGCAGGACTATGATGGGAGCCGAACACCGGTACAATCCGGTCGAAAAAGAATGTCTCGCCTTGGTATTCGCAATTCAAAAGATGCGACACTACCTAGTTGGACAGACCATTCAGGTCATCTCCAAGGTAAATCCTTTGAGAGTTCTGATGACAAAACCATCATCTCTAAATTGCCGGCTTGCAAAATAGGCCATTCTCTTGTCACAATACGACATGCAGTTCGTGCCTCAAAAGGCGGTCAAGGGTCAAGCACTGGCAGACTTTTTAGCCGATCACCCAGTATCGGGAACATCCAAGTTGTATGAAGAATTACCGGACGAAGTCGCTGAAGCTTGCGCTATCCAAGAAGCTACGCAAGTGTGGAAGTTATTCTTCGACGGTGCATCCAGAGCAAATCCTCATGGAGCAATCACTGCGGGAGTAGGAGTAGTATTAATCTCTCCAAACGGTCACGTAATCCCAAGGGGATTCTCCTTAATCGAACCTTGCACCAACAACGTAGCCGAGTATAATGCTCTGCTATTAGGAATGCAATTTGCTGAAGAACTTAATGTTCAACACCTTGAGGCTTACGGTGACTCTCAGCTCATCGTTAATCAAGTCCGAGGAGAATACGAAGTACGTCATGAGGATTTGATCCCGTATTACTTCGCAGTGCTAGAGCAAGCTCAAAAGTTCGAAGGTTTCTTTATCGAATACGTGTCAAGAGCTCAGAATGCATATGCCGATGCTTTAGCCTCTTTGGCAACTTCGCTAGCCTTGCCCCCAGGGGTCGAAACGACGATTCCGGTCATAGGACGTAAGCTATACTGTTCCAAAATTCCTATAGAGGAAAACTCAGACGAGACGCCGACATGAGAAGTCTGTACAACATTTATAGAGTTCGAATCTAGGGATTGGCGATTTCCGTACATCGACTATGCCCTATATGGAATTTTGCCTGATGATCCTAAGGAAGCGGCTGCAATTAAACGAAAAGCCCTCCAATTCTATTACGATGCAGTTTCTCAAGTCCTGTATCGTAAATCACATGATGGAGTCTTACTTCGATGCCTTTCCTAAAAGGAAGCGAAGGAAGCCCTCAAAGAGGCTCATGACGGAATGTGTGGAGCTCATCAGCCTGGAGCTAAATTAGGGGATCGCCTCCGACGAATCGGCTATTATTGGCCGAAGATGTTTTCAGACGCAGTTGACTATACTAAACGTTGTCACGCATGTCAAATTCATGGAGATTTTATCCACCAAGCACCGGGGAACTTACACCCCACATCGGCATCCTGGCCCTTCGAAGTTTGGGGTATGGATATCGTAGGACCGATTTCCCCTCCGACATCTAAGGGACACCGGTTCATTCTAGCTGTGACCGACTATTTCTCCAAATGGGCAGAGGCAATCCCGTTGAAAGAAGTCAAGACTTCGAATGTAATCAAGTTCATCAAGCATCATGTTATCTACCGTTTTGGAGTACCAAGACGAATAGTTCACGACAACGGGACACAATTCGTCAATTTTGGATTTCAGAGATTCTGTGATAAATTCAGAATCCAAAGTGTCACATCTACGGCATATTATCCGCCAGCAAATGGTCTTGCAGAAGCTTTCAATAAAACCATAGTGAAGCTTCTCAAAAAGTTTGTCTCCAAGAGCCGGCGCGATTGGGATGAAAGACTCGGTGAATGTCTATGGGCTTACTGCACGATGGTGAGGACCCCTACAAGAGCTACACCGTTCTCTTTGGTATACGGCTGCGAGGCTGTGTTGCCATTGGAAATCTAGATCCCTTCTCTGAGAGTTGCTATTACAACTGGACTAACAGAAGAAGAAAACATTAACGACGTCTGCAAGAACTTGAAGCCTTAGACGACAAACGACTTCAATCTCAGTAACAGATTGAGCTATATCAAGCCCGTATTTCTAAAGCCTATAACAAAAAGGTCAAGGAACGGATTTTCAAGAAAGGCGACTTAGTTTTGGCCAACAGACGACCCATGGTAATGACTCACAAAACCAAGGGGAAGTTCAATCCCAAATGGGAGGGGCCCTTCATAATAGAATCAGTCTATTCGAATGGAGCTTATCGTCTCATCAATCAAAAAGGAGATAGGCTCATGATGCCAATCATTGGGAAGTTCCTTAAGAGATACTTCCTGTAAATCATGTAGCCCCCTAAACCCCAGCTAAATCAGGCTGGGGGTTGTCTATTTATAGTGTATTTCTGCCTTGTATTTCGTCATGTTAACATTAAACCTCTGACGGTTGAAATTTTCTAGAATTATTCTAATAAAGAGAATTTCGATTTCATGCCAAGTTAACACTATACTCATGGCATTTGCTTTATCTTTCATTGTCCTGAATCATATTTCAACAAAAGAGATGATGAAAGCCAAAATGATATCATTTTTATTCAATATTGTTGATTTGAATACAAAATGAAGACAATCGAAATGAAAATGATACAAATTTATTCCCTAGCTAAAAGGCGATTCAAGTCCTAAGCATCGGGACTCATCAGTCTAAAAGACTTGAGTTTAGATTTCAGCGCCAATATTTTCTCCTCACGAGCCTTTTTGACTTCCTCTGTTATCTTGCTCTTGAGCTCCTCTTCATTTGGTGCCGCTTCTGCAATCTCTCGCCTAATCTTGTCAGCAACAACAAGTTCATCGCAATAGCCTTTGAAAAGCCCGTCGCAGTAAGCAATTAATCCTTTTATAACTTCCATGTCCCCCGCTAATCGAGCAGTTATCTGAGCTTGCTCAATACCAGCACGGGTAAGCTCGATCGCAGTATCCCGAATACCTACAGCAAACACTGCTAAAATTTGAGGCATCCTAGACGGAAAATTCCGTCTAGGATACCCAGAATTCCGTCTAGGATGTGTATTCTAGACGGAATTCCGTCTAGAATACGCGTCTAGTTTATTTCCGTCTAGTATGTAGTATTCTAGACGGAAATTCCGTCTAGAATACATCCTAGACGGAATATTCTAGACGGAATTCAAAACCGTCTAGAATACATCCTAGACGGATTATTCTAGACGGAATTTCCGTCTAGAATAACGCATCCTAGACGGAAAAAATTTCCGTCTAGAATGAGTATTCTAGACGGAAATTTCCGTCTAGAATACTCATTCTAGACGGAAATTTTACAAACGTTTACATAAATTATCCAATGCATAAGGATCATCGGCGTAAGGATTCAAAGAACCCTCTGAGAAGAGGTCGCCTATGTTTGCAGGATGGGGTTGGGGCCCTCTGCTAGGTACCTATAAAGAAAGAATTGAAGCATTAAGATCAGCATATAGGAAATGGGCAGATACAAGACCTAATAAAAAAACTGAGCATGGGAATTGATCATGAAAGACATTCTGAACTTATCAAAGTATACTAAACAGATTTAAGGTCCAAAATACTAAACTATAGTCACAGTTCATAGTGCCAATTTTTATTTCATGCCCATTCACTGAGGACGTTGCTGATGCACCAACCTCCAGTAGAAATACTACGAGACGCAACCCCACAAAGTTCTAAAAATCAGGTTTGGATCAAATAATAGCTTCCTATCATATCCTGCTCTTCAATGATTCCCAGGAAAAAGTGGCTAGGTTAGGTAAATGTTGAATAAATAAACAAATAAAACAAATTAACCATTGCAGCAAGCCAATCCACAGATTCAATGGATACAAGCTTAAAGCAAAGCATGTTGGCATGCCTGAATATCAATATAAAAGAAATTATTTATTCTCCTGTATATACGAAAGATATTACCACAAAGAACTGTATGTCAACATACATAGAGGAACATATACTTTTATGTAATCATTACAAATCCACTCCAAATGTTCATGTTGGATTTACTGTTACACAATGTATTTTCTTAACGAAAAGAAAAACTTTTGAGAAAGAGCTGGTGTATAGATTTCTAATTTCACCTGAAAAGCTGTTTTCTTCAATCCCTCTACTCATTTTCCTGTTTTTGGTGTTTTTAGTTTATCATAACTTCTCTCCTTTCCATTTACTATTAGTCCAATGTTTTCGTGTCAATATGTACTATATCCTCAATAGTTTTATTAAATTATACTCCATATTTTCTGTTTTGTTTATACTAATCATAAATCCTTTATATTAGAGAGCTTCTCTCTACCTTTCTACTTTACACATCATCCCTTTCTTAGACTCATCAACTAATACTATCATCAGCAAATAACGTACACCACGAGACTTCATCTTCAGTATTCCTAGTAAGTTCGTTCATAACTATGTGAAAAAGATAAGAGCTTAAAGCCAATCCTTGATGTAAACCTATGGTAATAGGAAATGACTTTGTTCCTCATTCACTTGTTCTCACCATAGGTGTTAATATCATACATTTATTTAATCGCATCAATAAACGTACTAGATACAAGTTTCTGGTCTAAAATCCACTAGACTATATCCCTAGACACTCTGTTGCAAGCTTTCTTAGACTAAGGGTGAATACAGAAATAAGATGGACTCTTAAGGTCATTATAAGATCAATGCTGTTTATTAAAATCACAGGTTATCCATTTCCACATGTTAATACTACCAACCAAAGTTTTGAAATCTTTCTGAAACGTGATACCTTCCCACGTTAACAGATGATAGACCACGATGGATAACTGAACTAATTACGACAATCTAATAGTCCTGCATTCATAAGTGAGAGGCTCAAATATAATAGATGGTTAACAATATTTGTACCTTTGTCATTTTGGTGACATTCTTGCTTGCATCAGGGGTCCTGGTACGTGCTGTCTTATGAGGATTGGGTTCCTGAAAGGCCATGACAAAGATGTAACAATAAACTAAATGCAAGCAATAATCTGCAATTTATAAGTCAATGATACTTTCTCAAGTGAGGATCTATATACCCCAAACATCACAGTGCTCTTTGTTCTTCTGCGCTTTGTGACTGTTTGCCCATTTGATGTCTCAACTTCATATTCATGGCGTGTTACCTAAAGCAAAATAATCAAAGTGAATCAACTTGTTAAATGTACAATCCTACAAGGTTTGTGAGTTTCAACAATCACTTAATAATTGTAACTTGTAAGACGTAAGGCTGACAGCTAATTATGTTTATGTCATTGAAGTTATCTATAGTAGTTCAGAAGCAGTTACACTGGATTAAAGTAAACAGTAGCAGATTGACATGAAACATTATGGCATCTAGAGGTACCACTGGAAGAACAAATTCACCTGACATGAAACATGAAACATTATGTCTGGTTAAGAGGCATTTCGTCGAACACCCTCCTGGCGTCCAGGGGGAGCTCGAACTTGAAGTACATGTCCTCGACGGCGGAGGCGACGTAGACGTCGAGGATGAGGCCGGCCTTGAGGGAGAGGCAGTGGATCTGGGAGGCGACGAGGGGGTCGGGGAGGGAGGCAGAGGCCTTGAGGGCGGAGGGGAGAGTGAAGTCGTAGGGGCGGGCGAGGGAGCGGAGCATGGAGCGGAAGACGGAGAGGGAGAGGAGGGGGCTGGAGTTCTGGGAGGCGCCGGAGATGAGGGCGGTGAAGTAGGGGACGGAGGGGGAGGGCTCGAGGGAGAGGAGGCGGAGGGCGGGGAAGGGGAGGTCGAGCTTCGAGTAGAAGTTGATGAGGTTGCCGGTCGAGAGGAAGGGCGGGAGGAGGCGGGGGAAGAGGGACTTGAGACCGACGGCGTGTGCGGAGCGGCCGAGGAGAGAGGAGCGGGTGGAGATGGCCCGATCGATTTATGCTTCTTTAGAATAAAATTTCGGTGTTGGGGGAAAGATGAGCGACGAAATTTGGGGGGGAAAAGGGGGCGGCGAAATTTTGGTGGGTTAATTTTTTTTTAAAAATGGATAACATCTCCTAGACGGAAATTTCCGTCTAGGATAAATTCTAGACGGAAATTTCCGTCTAGGATAGTCGGTTAATTTTTAAAAAAAAATTAAAAATAAAAAACCGTCTACTTTACTATTCTAGACGGAAATTTCCGTCTAGAATGTATAAAAAAAAATTAAAAATAAAAAACCGTCTACTTTACTATTCTAGACGGAAATTTCCGTCTAGAATGTATTATTCTAGACGGAATATTCCAGACGGAAATTTTCCGTCTAATTTAATACAAACTAGACGGAAAAATTTCCGTCTAGAATAGTCTGTCTAGGATACTTGATTTTTTACTAGTGAAAACTGCCCAAGTCCACTTGCACTTGAAGATGTTCCCCGCGCAGGCGAGCAATACGAGAATCTGTTTCGGATAGACTCTTCTGAAGAGCCTCTTGCTGCTGTACTTTCAAAGCCCTGGCCTCAGAGAGAGCCCGATCCACTTCTGGTTCTATGTCGTCGCGTTGTAGCATTGAAACGAATTCCAATTCATATTCCAGAATAATAATGCTCTCGCGACAATGTTCAGTCCACAATGCATTCCCCTGGTTCATAATCTTGGCGAGACACTCCAGCAGATGGGGTTCAAAGACTTTGAAACTCACATCCCCGAGACTAACGACATCGATGGTCATTTGCATCCAGTACTCTAATTGTTCGATGAGCTTCCTCAAAGTTTTCGAGCTTGGGGGTGGAGCAGTCGGCGGATAAATAAAGCAATTCTCATAATCAGTGTGAGTGGGGGTGTGCGCAGCTTCAGATGATAACTTTTCGGGCATATTTGGCGCTGAACCTGGGACGGTCGATCCCTGCCCACCTGTTGGCATCTCAAGACTAGGAGGAGCAACTTGAAGCATAGTATCCCTGCTGTTTTCAGGAGACGCAACATGGACCAACTTTATGGCGTCCCCCATCAGCTTAGCTTTCTTGGAGTTCTTAGCTGCAACGGGTTTTCGCTTCCGAATCCTCTTCTCATATTCGCCTTCCTCCTCAGCAGTAAGAGCCCGCTTCCCTGATGATCTCAAGGAGCGAGGCTCAGGATGGGGTGTTCTCTCGAGAGCTCCTTTAGTATCCTCTTTTTCAGAAAGCTTGGCAGCGGTAACTCCTTCGGAATCTCCTCGATTCCGGATGCCTCTCGTTCGCAGGACAGATAATCCTCTATCCCTGGTAATCGAGTCCTGGCAGAACCACTTCTTGATTTATAAAATTCCTGGATCTCATTTATGCACAAAGTATGTATATCATATTCAGGGATTCGTGAAGCTTTGTCGAACCAACCGTGGAAACCCGCTACGGTAGAACAACCAGGCGGCAAATTAGGCAAAAATAAACTGCGCATGAGTCCCTCGGGCGGAAAAGAAATACCAAGCGCGAGCCCCTTCATATAAATTCCCAATATGAGCCAATCGCGGATTAGGGTTACCAACATAAAGCTGGTCATACCCGAATTGCTGAGCAAAACGCGAAGGAATATATGGCTCAATGATGCATTTCTCGTCTAGTCGGAAGACCAGGTAGCCCACTCTGATAGCAAGAAGCCATTGGAAAGTCCCTGTGTTTAAGAGCGAGGACCCTTCGAAGACTACGTCACCAAACTTCGGGCCTTCTTCTTCAGCCCCATCAAAGCAAGGGCGACAGCAAAAAAGATCATAATTATTTTCCAAAGACAAGAGTTGTCTAGCCCGGACTATGTACACAGTTGTCCATGTGGCTGACTCAAGCCTTTGCACGAAAGGAATGGAGGTTTCGCTATCATGTATGATCCCTGTCATCAAAGAGGGACAATGCAGCACAAACCAAGCCACTAAATAAGTATAGGGCATTGGTGTGCGAGGTTGGGGAGTCTTCCAAACTTTCCTCCCGGCAACATTCATCTCCTTGACATCAAGGAGTTCTGAAATCAGATCTCGTAGAGCTCTTTACAGACAGCCCGTCATCGCAGAGAGAAGACTTAGTAGCCTCCCATGAGCCAAGAGAACGGCTGGGTAGACGACCTCAACCAAGATTGATTCAGCCGGTCTCGACGGTACAACACACCGTTTCAACCAGAGCATTAAGAAACCAGCAAAGAGTACCATGTCAGAAATTGGAATGGCGGCTTGATGATGAAAACTCTCAAACTCGCTGTCAGTTTCAAATCCATCTTCTAGACACTGATTCTTATAAATGACATTAGGAGCTTTGATGCGGGCTTTAATGCTCCTAGCAGAACTGACGGCAAGACGGGTCACCTTCGAATCTTTCTGACTCAAGTTCTGGAATAAGTAATCTGCCCAAGCAATATGCATGAGGCCACCCCCACATATCCCGGCGACCTGAGCGCAGATGTGAAAATGACACATTAACTCCCAAAAAGTATCATAAATATCTGGGTGAGCAGTCTTTAGGATGGATAGTTCCTCAGTGGTTGGAACAAATTCTTCGTATGGCATTTGCCTGAAGGATAGTCCTGACACTGCGTGCATCTCATGCAAAGCAAATCCTAACTCCCCGACTGGCGTGAAGAAGGTTCAGCTGTCCGGATTGTATTTCTCCAACATAGCAAAGAAGGAGGGATAGTTCTGGATGATCCCACGCCTCGTAGCCTGTATCGGTACTGTCAGACCAGACCGGGCAAGAGGCTCCTCGAGCTTCTCAAGGACGAAGTCCACCATACGGGTCCACCAGCCGTCTTCTCTAGAGAACACTCAACCAGGAGAACGAAAAGCTTGCACAAGAAATTCCCCTCGAGCAGCAATAAACTGACGTATGAACACGTTCGCTGGAAGAAGCGCTTCCCGAGCAAGTTCCTTCTTCTCAAATCTGCCAGGTCTCAGACCTTGAGTTGCCCGCCAATTTGAACACGAGATGATCGACCTGATCCAAATGATATGTTCTCCTTCTCTTTGACAAGGTCGAAGGCCAAGCCCCTACGACCACCCACAGTCAGAAAATATGAAAGTGGGTACATCTTCTTCATGCTTGGAAGGAAGAACAAACGATCATCGACTTCTCACAGCATGCGGGAATCCTCTACATCCCCAACTTGACCATCAGCGGATATATGGTCTCCAAACAAGAATGATGGTTTGGCAAATTGGTCCAGACCCGCAGGGGTTTCTAGATCCACATCAGTGATTAGAGCCCTAAGAGTTGAACACCCAGCAAACCTAATTAAGTGTGTTCGATCCGAGCTAGGGGAAGTGCATAAAGGAATCTCCCCGCGAAGACCAAAAACCCTCCCTACTTCAGGATCATCGGTATAGCTGAAGTACTGCTCTAGCAGAAGCGGTACATTGGGAAAAAGCACCGCAAAACAAGAAACAGTAGTTAGCAACTAAAGGGAACTTCCAATGAAAGGAACTAGACTAGACGCAGACTTTAAAAGCTGTGTTGTCAGTCCTGAACCCAGGCCCCCAAATCTGTGATTTTTTATCTTGAACACAGACTTCGTCTGTGTTATTCATCTTAAACGCAGACATCAAGACCTGCGTTCTTGATCTTAAACGCAGACTTAAAAATCTGCGTTGTTGATCTAAAACGCAGACTTCAAAGTCTACGTTGTTGATTTTAAACACAGACTTCAAATTTGCGTTATTCAAAATCCACGTTTTTAACGCAGAGTCCAAACTCATAATCAGAATTCATGATTAACGCAGAGTTACAACTGTGCGTTCCAATTACAAAGAAACGAGTCATCTTCCTCGTTGAGAAGGACCCATCTAGGGTTTTCAGAAAACTTGTTGAAACAAGTTGCCATGGCCACCACTTACCACAGCAATGAGGTCCGTGCAGCGGCGACGGCAATGGCGAAGTGCTCGTGAGAGCAACAACGCCACCGGCGTTCTCGGCCGGCGAAGTCCCCAAAGAAGTCTTGACGATCTTCTTAGATCCCGAGCTCATCCTCCTAGGCGCCATGGGTACGGCTGATCAGAGAAGATGAAATTCGACGATGAATCGATTGAAACGAGAATTCTCGTTCTTGGAACTAAGCAAAATAAAAAAGAGCCGAATGACTCTTGATGTGACCTTACAGGCCTATTTATAACAGCCGTCAAGCTGTTAAAACGGTTCGGGACTCTAAGAAAGAATCCCAACCGATTCTGAAACGCAATCTTTTGCGTTAATTGATAAGATCAATTAGATCCATCAAGCTGTTAAAACGGTTCGGGACTCTAAGAAAGAATCCCAACCGATTCTGAAACGCAATCTTTTGCGTTAATTGATAAGATCAATTAGATCTTAACGCAGAGTTCACTTCTGTGTTCAAGTCCCAAACGCCAGGCCTAGTCCTGCGTTATAAGAGTTCTTAACTCTACATTTTGAACCTCAAATGCAAAAGTCACCCCTGCATTATGACTATTTAAAGTAAATGACACATCTTTGTATTGGCAAAACATGATACTTATTTCTTAAGTTCATGAACTCCTTTAACATGGCATTGTTAAACTTCTGTATTTCCTCAGCAGAGTTTAAATCCCCGTCACGTTAACATTACACCTCTGACAAAAATCCACTTATCGACTCTCTCTAATGGAGCGATAAGTCCTCAAAATTGCTCCTATAGCAATATTCTTCTTGTCACGTTAACATTACACCTCTGATAAAAATCCACTTATCGACTCTCTCTAATAGAGCGATAAGTCTTCAAAATTGCTCCTATAGCAATATTCTTCTTGTCACGTTAACACCACACCTCTGATAAAAATCCACTTATCGACTCTCTCTAATAGAGCGATAAGTCCTCAAAATTTCTCCTATAGCAATATTCTTCTTGTCACGTTAACACCACACCTCTGATAAAAATCCACTTATCGACTCTCTCCAATAGAGCGATAAGTCCTCAAAATTGCTCCTGTAGCAATATTCTTCTTGTCACGTTAACACCACACATCTGACAAAAATCGACTTATCGACTCTCTCTAATAGAGCGATAAGTCCTCAAAATTACTCCTATCGCAATATTCTTCTTGTCACGTTAACACTA